TCAATACTCCCAGGACAGCAAAGGAAGTTTTTATGATAAAAAAAAAGGGGGGGGGTATGAATAGAGAGGCCAATCCTGAGATCACCAAGGCTCTCCTCTTTCTTCAGGAACTTATTCTGGTTGGTTGCTTTGTTTTTAAGCAAGAATCGTGAACCTAGGTTTTCATACCTAGCAAGGTTTTTTTTTTAAAAAAAATTGTCCATGATTTCTGCAAGAAAACATGAATCAATGACTCCCATCATTAGTGAAATTGAGGTCCCAGCGGGATGGCCTGTTTGAGGTTCAAGGCGCTGTAATCCTAATGGGAAATGAGAGATGGGAAACACTTCTCAGCCCTGCAAGTCTCAATTGGCACTTCTTCAACAACAGTTACAGCACACAGGGTGGCTGGGTGCACTCTTCTCTAGGGTGGGGGCTGCTGGATCAATCACCCTGCCACCGGGCAGTGGTTTACACCGTCAGGGGAATGGGTCCTCTGCAGAGCAAAAGCTTGGGTCAGGGGGTGGAGGGTTCCTGGTGTGTGCACGGGTGTGCCCCTCACCCCCTCCAGGCAGGCAGCTTGGTCCCAGCTCAGAGCTAAGATAAGGATCTGAGGCAATATTTATTTATGGAAGGGAGGAAGCAGCGTGTGTGCCAATTTAATGCTTACTAGGGAGAAAGTAGCAGATCTCCTATCTGCAAGGGAGAGCCTGGGCAACAATTCCTTCTGGACACCAAGGCCTCTCCCCTCCCCCTCTGCACCCGCTCCACCTCCCTCCCACCCCCAACCTGGCCTCCCCGGAACGCGGTGCCAAAACGTAAGCCTGTTGTCGCGTTTTCTCCGACCTGGTGAAACCTGGATCCACGGGCTTGGTGTAGACACGCCAATCGGTCCCCCAGGTCGCTCGGCCTCGGTGTGGGGGGTGGAGGGGTGAGGGAAAACTGGAGGGCAGCGGCGATGGATCCGGATTCGGGGAAGGGTCTGCCCTGGTCGAACGCGGATTCCCACCGGAGGGCTGGGATCCGCCGCGGCGGGGCGGGGCGGGGCGGGCGCTCTCCGCGGCCGGGGCTCTCGCTGCGCGCGCGGGGCTGGGAGCCCCAAACCCTGGAGCGCGCGCGCGCGGGGTCCGGGGGCGCAAGCGAGGGGGCGCGGGGGGGGGGTGAGGAGTCCGCCCCGAGCATCCGCACGGCCAGCGCCTGGCGCCCTGCAATTCCCGGAATGCCACCCAACTCTGGAAACCCGAAGATCCCGAAAATTCCGAAAGCGAAACTGCAAGCGGGTCTCCAGAAGTTTGGGGACGGTCTTCTCCAGGGCTTGCCGGCGCGGCGTCTGCGCTCCCGGGCCCCGACCCCGCCGAGCCGAGCGCCCGCCCCCCCGCCCCCTCCCCCGGGCAGTAGCGACCGCGGCGCTGCGCTCGGCCACGGTCCGCGTCCCCCGGGCACCTCCCTCGCCGTCTTTACGCGGAAAGGGCCCCAGCCCGGGCCCCGGTTCCGGGGCGGTGGTCGGCCGGGCTCCCGCCGCGTCTCGGTCCCTCCCTCCTCCCGCTCCTTCCGACAAACTCGGGCCCCGCGAGGCTCCTGAGGAATGTTCTTTGTAATCGGTTGTATATTCGCTTCCACCGCACAGCTCGGTGCAAAACCGCGGGTTTCGGGGCGTTGGGAGTGAATTGTGCGCTTGTCAGCGGCGACGTCAGGAGGACGAGGGGAGGGGTTCCCGGCTGAAACTGCAGTTTACGAGCACAGAGCCATTTTAGGCTGGTTCCCACTGGGGCGAAGCCCACGGGAGAGCGGGCCCCCCGGGAGGACGCGCCGGCCGCGCGCGCGCAGCGAGGGTCGGGGACGCGCCGCGCGCCCAGCCTGGGGGGCCCCCCGCGTCCCGGCCGGAGGGTCGCGCATCGCTCAGCCCCGCCGCCCAGGTGGGAGGGGGAATCGGCCGCGGGGTCTCGGATCCCAGGGTCTCGGATCCCCTGCGCCCCCACCCGAGGGGCCCTGCGGCGGGCAGGCCTCTCCCGACAGCGCGGCGCGCGTCTAAGGGCGGACGACGAGCCGACCCTCTGGCTCGCCCCTCCGAGCCCCCCTGTGAACGCCCAGAGACCCCGTTACTGCGCTAACTAGAGACCTAGCCAACACTGTCTTTTTCGCCCGAGGACTTAACCACGTCTCGGCGCACCTGGCCACGGCACCGTCACGTTCGCAGGGACCAGAGAAGGTGCCCAGGACCTGCCCTCTCCAGGGCCGGGGGACCGCGCACGGGCGCCGCACAGCCCCTGTCCCCTGGGTCCCTCCCGCGCGACCTCCGCTCGGCGGCTGCGCCCTGGCCACTGGCGACCCCTGTTGGAGATCCCCGTTCCTAGCTTAAGAGAGCTCGGGTTTTGCTTGCTTCCCCTCGGACTCCCCTTACAGCCTCCGACTTTGCCCCCAAACTGCAGACGCAGACCCTCCCGACCTCAGATGCCGGGCACCACTCGAACCCCAATGCCACCGCGCGCCCGCGTGCCCGACTCGGCCAGAGGATGCCCCGCTCAGACCCAGCCTTCTCCAGCTGGACCTGCGCAAGGGACACTTTCTTCCGAGAACACTCCTCCCATCCCCCACCTTCCCCAGAGCTCAACTCCAAAAGCAACTCCTCGCTTCGACCCTGGCACACTTTGCAGCCGAGGTCGGCGCGCCCACACCTTTCTGCGCGGCCGCTTGCATCCTCCCCACGCACCCCCTCCCCAACGCCGCACACACAAAACCCCGTCTGCAGCCCGACTGCACCCAAAACCCTGGACAGTTAGTCCTTTTAAGAAGGACCTCCTCACTCCGCCTAACCCGGGCTTCACCCGCACGGAATCCAGCCCGCAGAGCGAGCTCCTCTCAAAGAAAGCCGGAATAAATCATTGCCTCTGCCCCTCATGTATTTTACACTACGTGTCAGCAGTTTGTCACGTCAAATCATGGCAGGGTCTGGTTCCAAGACGCACACACACACACACACACACACACATTCGGGGCGTACCTCTTGGGCACCCCCCACCGCACCCTCAACCGCGCACACCGCCTTGCACGCTGATCCAAAAGGCACACGCAGCCAGCAGTGGGGTTTGCATGCCCTGGTGTGGGCCCGCGGCACCCCCTTGCCCCCCTGGCAATGCACTGGACACGCAGACTCCAAACACGGAAAAAACTAGGGCAGCTCATTCTGTCTCTTTTTTCCCACTTAATTCGCTAAAACAGCTCCTGGAGCAGCCAAAGAGAGTCGAAAGGAAGGCATGGCAACTCCGGCGGGGTTTTTTCCCACCTCAAAACCTTTATTTTCAGTTTTTAGAAGCCACCTTAGCCCGCCATATTGAAACTGGTTTCTAAATACTCCTTCCCCGCAGTTGCAAGCGCTTCCAAGAAAACCCAAGTACGGATCGGGCTCTGGACGTGCGTTCGGCCACCGCGAAGCCACCACTTCCCTACCCCCCCCCCAGGGATCCCCCCCCACCGCCCCCGCGGTCCCGGGTTGGCCTCTCCCGCCGCCCCGGGCCAAAATCAATAAATATATCTAACCAGTTCCTACAGTTGTTTTCTTTCTTTCTTTTCTTTTTCTTTTTTTTTTTTTTTTTGGCGGATTTTTACCCACATACACGTTTAAAAAAATAAACTCCCAAGCTAGATCAGATGAGCAATTTTGAAAGGAGGTCATATGAGAGTAGACAACAGGAAAGCCCCAAGTGACAGGATATTACTTTAAAGCAAAAGCAAAAAAAAAAAAAAAAAAGAACAAAAAGATCATCCATGCCGGAGCACGCTCCGAAACTACTACTGACAATTTCATTTCATCTGCACAGGCAAATGTTTCCAAGAGGGCGACTCCGAATGTGTAAATGATGTTTAACACCCTCGATGGCTGGTCTCCAGGGCTCGCCCCGCCGGTGTGCCCCTCCCCGCCCCCAACACACACACAGACACCCCAAAAAGATGAAGAAGAAAGAAGAAAGAAGAAAGAAGAAGAAGAAGAAGAAGAAGAAGAAGAAGAAGAAGAGAGAAGAGGAGGAGGAGGAAGGAAGAGAAGGAGAAGAAAGAGACCCCGGGTAGGAAGAGACCGCGGAGCGCGGGGTGGCCAGGGCGGCTGCGTCTCTAACCCAAGCGCACAAATGAGGAAGGTGGGCGGCGGGAGGGGACCGCTCGCACCCGGGGAAGGAGGACACTTTGCAACTACAGATGGCCTCCCGCAAGGCCGGGCTGGTCCCAGCCAGGGAACGAGGCTGTCGGGAGGCGAACCGGAGAAGCAAGCAAAAAAAAAGAAAAAAGAAAAAATGACAAGCCGGAGCGCAGAGCGGAGTTTGGGGCTGTGCTCCAGCGCGCCGCTGCTCTCTCCCCTCCGGCGCTCGTCTTTGGCTTCTCCCCCTCCTCAAGCCTCCCACGCCCGGGCTGGCTGCAGCTTCCCCCCTCCTTTTTCCCCCCTCGAAGCTGGAAAAAAAAAAAAAAGAAGCTGCCCGGCGCACTCAACCTGCGGGCCGGAGGTCGGCTCGCCGGGCGGGCTGGGCGCGGGGACAGCGGCCGGCGCGGCGTCCTACCTGGTGAAGTTGGGGCTCCCCTCGGGGTGGGCCCGGGCCGCGGGGCGCCGCCGGGGTGGGGTGGGGGGGCCCCGCCGGCCTCGCTCGCTCGGCCTCGCCCCGGCTCGCTGCGCCTCGCTCGCTGCCCGCCCGCCGCCTCCCCTGCGCGCCCGCTCCGGTCCTCCGACTCCCACTACAGCCTCATTCCAATATGGCATCCTCTCTGTGCGCATGCCCGGCACTCTTTTTTAAGATTATTATTTTGTGTGTGTGCAGCGAACTCCTTCAACGACCTTTTCCAGCGCTCGCGGAACGGCTCAAAGCAATGGGGCTGCGGGACGCTCGCGAGTCCCGGCTGCGCCCCGCGGTGCCGCCCCCGCGCCTGGGCGCACGCCCCCCCCCCCGCAACACACACACACACACACACACGCACAGGCACAGGCACATTTCACGCTCCCACTGCCCCCTCCTCCTTTCCCTCGGCTCCCTCCATACACGATCTGCACAAAGTTCCCATCACAGGCGTTTCCGCAAGCCCGTCTGCAAGGGAAATCTGGGCCAACTCCGCATCTCCCTGGACACTTTGTTTCCCGGGTTTGCAATGCCTCCGAGCACCCAGTGCACAAACTTGCGCTTTATCCGCCGCAGGCTGGTTGGGAGCGGAGAGAAAGTGCAGCCTCTCCGCCGCCTCCGCCCCGCCCACTGCGCTCTCTCCTCCCCACCCCCGCCCTGGGCACTTAAAATGGAATCTTTTCTACGGAGATTCAGACTTTTCCTGGTCCCGCAGGGAAAGGCTGGAAGGGGCCAGAGAGAGGTTTTTCGAGGAAACGTGCCCCTAGGGGGAGGAAATGAAGTTGGGGCTGCTCGGGCGAGCTTGCAGCTGCGAGCTGCGCCCCCCCCCAACCCCGGGACGGGCGCAGGGAACGAGGGTCGCCACGGCGTCTCCCGGGGGGTCGTGCCCGGGCCTGGGCGCCCGGAGAGGGCACCTGGCCCTCGCTGGCTATTGTAGGGCGGGAAAAGAATCCTGCCCGAGAAAAAGAAAAACAAAAAAACGTGGCCTTCGGAGACTGTTGCAGCGAAAGGGAGGCAGCGCCGCGGGAGGCCGGGCAGGGCTACCTCCCTCTGCTCCCCCGGTGCGTGGGGGGGCCCCCCAGCACAGTGCCCAGGGCGTGGGGGGAGGCCCCCAGAGGACCTACCCCGGCCTAAGGCGCGGTGGCTAGGCGGACACTGAACGAAACGTCCCCAGTTCGGAAAAGCTGGCGACGCCCTGGTGAGAAAAACGGGAGAACTTACATCGGTGGGCCTCGCTGTACTGGGGAGACGCTGTCAGGGGCAGCAGTTTATTTCCCAGGAAACTAGAGATACGGACACGTTTGGTCAGGGGTTTTGTTCTATTGCCAGGGGCTGTAAAATTCCCCACCCCACCCCCGAGTCTCCCAATTGCGTGTGCATCCCTTGCCTACGAACCCCTGTCGCCGCGCCCCAGCTCCGGTTCAGGGGGTTAGGAGGACGGTGCGCCCTGGGCCTCCCGCGCTCTGGCAACTCCACCCACCTTCCCGGGGGCCTGGCGCCCCAAGTGCGCCCTCCGGGCCCCGGGGGCTCTGGCTGGTGAGCCCCTGTCCCCAAGGACAGGTGGACCCTCTCGGAAGAGCCGGGGACACCGCGAGGGCCTGGGGATGCAGTCCGGGGGTCAGAGTCTGACTGCGCGCGGGAGCGCCGGGGTCCTGACCTGGTGGGTCCCCTCCCCGATGGCGGGGACTGAGCTCGCCCAGAAGATCTGCAGGAGGGACGTGCGAGAAAGGGCTCTCGCCAGGCCACGAGGTAGCGAGTGTCCCTCCACGGAAGGGTGCCTGGGGCTCGGGGATGCCCAGCGGGCGCTGGCCCCAGTGAGACACTGCGCACGTCCAGGATGGGGAGACGGGATTTCCTTACACCTTGGAGAGCGCTTGGAGAGTTAGGAACGGCTCCCTCCGCCCTGTCTCACCTCTCTGCGGTGCCACCTGAGACCCAGGAATTTCAGAAGGCTCACACAGTTCAAACTCCAGCCCCAGTTTGCGTCGTCTCCAGCTTTCGGGTCCCCTCCTCTGGGGGACACCACGCTGGCACCCCCAGCTCCTTCACCTGCAGCTCGCTGAAGCCGGAGACTCCTCAGACCAACCTCACCCAGTCCCTACACATTAACCCTTTCGCGCGCTCCCCCGAACTGCCTCCCTCCGTGCCTCAAAACCGCTCCACACTGAGTGAGATGGACGCTCCGAGGGCCGGGAGGAATCCAGAATGTGGACCCCAAACAGGCTCCTGGGCTCTAGCCCTGGGTGTCTGGGTGGCTGTCATTCACGCAGGTCACCTCGCTCCTTCAGCACAGTCTGGACGGGAAGGAAGGAGCGAAGGAGGCGGGGGACCAGCCCGTGCCAAGAGGACCTGCATGGCTGCAGACGCGACCCGTGCGCCCTTCTCCTGCAGGGGCTCACCAGCTCTGCCCAAACCCTGAGCGCGCCGCAGCAGAAGGGCACTGAATGCCGCTTGGCTGCGACCGGTGCTGCTTGCACTCCGGCTGCTGGGGTTCCCCCGGGGTGGGGCACACCCAGGGGGTGAGCATCTCAGACCCCGCTGCCTCGCGGAATCCGGGGGGCAGAGGAGCGCTCCCCACGCAGGACTTCCGGACCGCCCGTTTACCCAAAGAATGAGTGTTCCCTCTCCCCCAGCCGAGCCCTGGCGACGTGAGCTGCAGCCAGCCATTGCGTCTCCAGGCTTGTTTACCAGTTTTAAGTCATTATCATGCTCAGACGTTAGTTCATCAAAAACAAAAAGCAAATGCAAAAGAACACCTAATCCCTAACTCGATGGCCTGGATATGCATCACCTTACAGTTAGTTCCTCCCGAGTAGTGGAGTCTCTATGTTTTTGGTACTCAGACCTCTAACTTTGCCCTTGTGACGATAGGAGTGCGGGAGTTTCATTTTTTTGTACCTTAATGAGATGAAGAAATGAAGTCATGAAAGCCGTAGTGCACAATGGTTATCACATCGTCACCACAAAGACGCTCAACGTGGTCTATGGTGAAATGTCTCCGGCTTCAGTAACCTACTTTCGCCTTGCTTTTTCAACGGGACCTCTTGAAAGGTCTTTGGCTTTCTATTTTGTTTAAAGATTTTTTTTTTATTTATTTTTTCATGAGAGATGGGGGAGGGGGGCAAAGACCTAGGCAGAGAGAGAAACAGGCTCCATGCAGGGAGCCTCATGTGGGACTCGATTCTAGATCCCAGGATCACGCCCAGAGCCAAAGGCAGATGCTCAACGCTGAGCCACCCAGACATCCAATATATTGCATGCTACCTCCATTCTCCGGTAGCCAAGGACACCAATGAGGCCAATGAAAATTGGTTAGAAGACCCCCTGAGCCAATTAAAGTGGCCACTTCATCCCAACCCAATGCCTTCTAACTTCCATTTTTTATTTCAAAGCCAGACACTTTGGGGATATGGGTACCCAGGTGTAGAATCCTCCCTAATCAATTAAAGTTGAAGGGGGGAAAATCCAGCATAGTTAACCAAGTGTAAAACCTGGTGAAAATTGTGAATGTTTCAAATTCAAGAAGGCATGATAATTTACAACTCAGAGAAATTTAACCGTGTAAATCTCATGACTAGCCATACCAGGTTTCTCTATATATTAATATTTTCTAAAAATCTTGACAAAGAAAGAAACTTTTGATCACACCATTGGCTGTAACCATTATTTCATTCCCAAATAAAGGCTAAACCATGAATTACATGACTTTTAAGATGCACCCAGACATCTCAGTTATGCTTTGGAAGGACTTTGGAATTCTTTCCTATGAATGACGCTCGACTTATATAAAATATTAAAATTATATTTGTTAATTGGGAAATATATAGATGTTATTTCCATTTGCTTGATGATACAGCACAAATTAGGAATAAAAAAATGGCTGAAAAGTTTCTTTCTCGTGTACTGTGGGTTCCTAAAGCGTTACTCCACAAAAGTTATTGCTGAAGTCCTTAAAATTCTACATATATTTTTAAATTTTATCAGTGCTATCTGTGACTACTTAAATCTTTAGTCTTCACACCAAGTAAAATATTGATTAATTTGCTCATAATTATTTCATGATTAAGTTATCATTTCCCACTGAGAAAAAGGAAATGCCCTAGGGGCACCTGGGTGGTGTGGCAGGTTAAGCTACAGACTCTTAGTTTCAGCTCAGGTCATGATCTCAGAGTCATGGGATCAAGCCCAGCTACAGGCTTCTCATGGAGTCTGCTTGAAATTCTCTCTCTCTCCCTCTGCCCTCTCCCACTCATGCTTGCCCTCTCTTCCTCTCTCTCTCTCTCAAATAAGTGAATCTATATATTTAAAAAAAAGAAAAAAGAAAAGGAAAGGAAAAGCCCTAAAGAAGACAACCATTATGTTTTCTTAATATAGTGAACCTCTAAGGAGATAATAAACATACTATCCTAACACCAAAACAGGAAAGAAATCTCCTAAAAATCCCCTAAAATAACCAAATATTTGAAGAATTTGTGCAATCCTCTCCCTTACTAGAAACTTGAAAGCTCAACGTGGTCCTAGGCTAGTAAGATGGCATTTTTCCATCACCTTCCTACAGTCATTAAGCATGAAATGTAAAGACACTCCCTCCCTATGTTTTCACCCTTTCCCCGATCCCCAGCTGAAGCACTGAGCTCCAGTATCAGGATTCAAATGACCTCATCACTGCTTCATCACTAATTCCCTTTGCGACCTATCTAAGTCAAATGACCTCTCCAAGTCATCTTCTCTCATACATAACAAGAAAGAAAGAAAGAAAGAAAGAAAGAAAGAAAGAAAGAAAGAAAGAAAAAAGAAAATGCCTCTCTGAGCCATCTTCTCTCGTACATAACAATAAATAGATGATAGATAAATAAATAAATAGATAGATAGATAAATAAATAAATAAATAAATAAATAAATAAATGGACTAGATGTGCTACAAGGTCCTTTCAAACTCTTAAGAGTACTTAGCAATCTACCTCAGGCCAAAGTCACAAATTGCTTTCCTGTAATATTCTAACACTATCTCTGCCCATTAGAAGTGGCTAAGGTGTGAAGAGGAAAAGTGAAGAAAACATGCGGAGAGCGGGAGAAAGGGCCTTTTTTGCCCTACTACCCTGAAATAAATGTTTGGTCATCAGGGTCATCTTTCTGCCTCGTTTATTTTTTTCTTTTCTTTTCTTTTTTTCCTGCCTCGTTTAGATGACCGTGTTTTCTATTTGCTGCATGTTTTTTTTTTTTTGTTTGCTCATAATAGTGTCAGGGCCGAGATAAGTGTACTCATAAGAGTCATTCTGGGAAACATGGGGCGATGGAGATGGCTATTTAAATGAGTAAAGAGCACTAAATGAGTATCATGGTGAGTAGTGGTCCACAAACATATCACCTATCACACAGAGCACTTTCTCATACATTTCCAGAAATTTCAGAAACCCGCTAATGCTTCTTATCTAATTTGAAGGAGTTTCAGGCTTCCCTGGCAAAAGATGAAAAACAAAAAAAACAAAAAAGCAGTACAGTATACAGGGCGTATTAAAAACTGCATGATGTCTGAACTCCCCTA